CTAAGCAGTCGCCCTCCCGACACCAGTGTTCCAGCTAAGCAGTCTCCCTGCTAGGCCTTCCCCAGGTCATGTGAGTTTTTGTCAGAGCTTTCCATGGGATGAGTTACTTACGTGGGAAGTGTATTCATTTCATGTTCGTGTCCGAGAATCAGAGTGTCTAGTAACGTAATATGATGTCCTAGTAACGTAAATATAATGTCCTAGTAACTTCAATAGAAGGTGTTATTAATGTGTCCATGTCATGTTCGTAATTAATAAAGAGTTGTAACGAAGCGGTGTTTGAGAAGTCGCCCTTAAGACGTAATAGATGTGTATTGACGTATAAGATACGATAAGTGTAAATCCATCATCAAATATCTATCACGGCCACGCTACCAAAGTCTTCCTCTCTTTTACTCTCTTACTAAATATTCTTCTTATATATATAAATATTCTTCATGCAAGATCCGTCTTGTTATATAACCTTGGGGCCGTGAGTGGTAGGTCGAAAGGTCCCACACCTACCCCCCCTGATGCAACCAAGTTTTATTGTTCTTACTGTAAAAAACCAGGCCATACGATCCAGTCTTGTAAACACCCAAAGTGTCGAACTGCTAAAAGTAGTTCCCTGGATCCCAAATCCAAACCAATAGCAACCACCAATGTGGAAAGGCCCCATCAGGATCTCTTCTCTTCATTCACCTATGAGGGAAAAATTTCAATCATAGAGGGGTCTCGTTCTTTCCTTATTCGTATACTACGTGATACGGGCGCAGCACAATCTATCTTCCTGTTTAACGTCATTCCTGATATATCTACCGCGTTTACTAATGAGAGTGTTCTAATTTCAGATCTCTCATTCCATTCTTCCTATCCCTTAGCTAAAGTGCACCTCCAATGTCCCTTGATTACTGGGGAAGTGCAAGTAGCCATTAGGAAAGATCCAATGCCTGTGAGCGGCAATTCATTTATTATTGGGTAATGACTTGGTAGGAGATCTAGTGGTTCCCAACATAAAGACAGTCGACTCTCCCTTACCTGTCAACTCCACCACTGACCTTGAAGAAACTACTCCTCACCTTTTCCCATCTTGTGCTGTCACCCGGTCACAGAGTGTGCGAAATGGGCCCTCTTCATCTAAAACTACCTCCAATATCTACCTCCAATATCTTCCTACCCACAGAAGATCTGTACAATAAGACCATTAGTAAGGATGAGCTCATTAAAGCCCAACAATCTGATCCATCTTTGTTCAAAAAGGTGATGAAAGACCTCAGTGTGGAACATTGTACATCTTCGGCTTACCACCCACAATTCCAAGGTTGCTTGGAACGGTTCCATCAAAACTTTCAAATCAATGCTAATAAACTATCTCCCCTCAACTATATAGTCCATACTCCTGATCGCAGAAAAGATTCACAACTTGTTCACATTAATCTCATGAAACTTTACCATTCCAGGCAGTCAGAGGAAGACATCCCAGAGGCTATAAGCTTACCTGTATTGCATACGGTTTTGTCAGGGCCGGAGCCGGAGACAGATGACATGGACCTATTGGAGAATTTAGACTTCCCTCTACCTAAAGAAAACCCTGCTAACAGTCACATACTCAACAACTTGGATGGGTATTTTTCTGTTCTGAATCCATCTCAAGCAAAAGATCTCACTAAGTTATTATCAACATTTCCTAAAGTCACGTCAGACCTCCCAGGGTTTTGCAATATACTTAAACATGATATTAAGCTAATCTCAGATGATGTACAACCCATTAGGCAATCAGCATATCTACTAAATCCACAAAAAAGAGAGATTTTCTAAAAAGAGGTAGATTTTTTGTTAAAACATAACTTAGCTGAGCCTAGTACCTTCCCCTGGGCTTCACCTTGCCTTCTCATTCCAAAACCCGATAGCACTTTTCGTTTCTGTACCGATTATCGTAAAGTGAACCAGGTCACTGTCTCAGACTCTTACCCTTTACCTTTGATTGAAGATATAATAGACAGCATAGGCTGTGCAAAATTTATATCTACCGTGGACCTGTTGAAAGGATATTATCAAGTGGGACTCACGGATAGGGCAAAAATAATCTCAGCATTTATAACTCCATTTGGTCTTTTTCAATATTTGGTTATGGCGTTTGGCTTTTCTAATGCTCCAGCCACATTCCAGAGGGCAATCAATTACCTGATTCAGGACCTAGGTGGGACGTTCGCCTACCTGGATGACCTGGTGGTGGTGTCGGACGGCTGGGACGAACATTGGTGCGTTTGGAGATACTGTTCGCACTACTGCAAGAGACTTTGATTCACCATAAACCTGGCTAAATCTGCTTTTGGCCGGGCCTCAGTGACTTACCTGGGACATATCGTTGGGCATGGTATGGTGAGACCCAAGGACGCAAACGTTAAAGCCATCTTGTCCTTCCCCACTCCAAGGACGAGGAAGGAACTCGTGCGCTTCCTGGGGATGTGCGGCTACTACCGTCGGTTCTGCAGTAACTTCTCCAGCGTGGCCGGACCCCTCACAGACCTTACCAGTTCTGCGGTCCCTTACATCTGGAACCAGAGGTGCGACCAGTCTTTCCACCGCCTCAAAGCCTTCCTTGCCTCCAAGCCTGTAGTCCACCCCCCTGACTACACCTTGCCCTTCCATCTGCAAATCGACGCTAGCGGTGTCGGAGTGGGGGCTGTGCTCCTACAACCCGACCCAACCACTGATGTCCTTCACCCTGTGGCATACTACTCCGCCAAGTTGAAAAAACATCAGACCAACTACTCGACCATAGAGAAGGAGGCCCTGGCTCTGGTGTTGGCAATAAAGAAGTTTGAATGTTACCTCCAGTCTTGCCCACAAACAACCCTAGTCTTCACCGACCATAACCCACTTACGTTCATCCAAACCAACAAGACCTCCAACCAGCGAATCCGCTGGGCTCTCCTCACCCAGCCCTATAATCTACAAGTCCGGCACATAAAGGGGGTGGACAACCTGATTGCGGACTCCTTATCCCGAGCTCCAGTGGAAATGCAGCAGCTACTCTCCAGACGCACCAGGTGATCACCTCCTTCGCGCCCGCGCTACGGAGGTCTTTGGAGTGGGGGTGTGTTACGAACCACGCCATCAATTGTCATGATCTACCTACCCAGCAATACGAACCACGCCATCTATTGTCCTGATCTACCTACCCAGCACCACGAGCAACGCCATCTAGGGACGAAACCCGAGTATGACTACTCTTAGTTACCACTCCGGGGTTTCCCTTCTCCATATCCTGGTTGTTGCGTCACCTCCTCAAAGTCTTCCTCATCAGCTCTAGTTCGATGAGAGGTCAGTTCACTCTGGGAAGCGACCACAGGATCACCTATCCTGGAAACCTACGGCACAGTGACTACCTACCGTCTTCCACAATACTCAGCCTTACTCGTCAGCCATCTCAGCTCCGCACTTAAGTATTTGTAATCTTATATTGCCTCCCCACCTCCACCTTGCTTCAAATTATTGTATGTTGTATAAATATGTATATACTGTTAATGTTTTGGTTAAGTATGGTGAAGGGTAAATTATAGAAAGTTGAATATTTTGTTAAGGAATTTATGGTACTTTATTATACACAACAAAAACTCGCATCCTTTGTCTACCCTTTTATAGTCCGATTGTCTTTGTTTTTTTTTTTTGTTGCCTGTTGGGATCTGGGTAGACTTTTAACTATATTCTAAATCCCCAACTCGTAACAACACACACACAATCAACTCTACCCAACAATGTTAGCTAGAGAAGGTACAGAAAAGGGCCTGCAGAATCATGCTTGGCGCAGACTACTCCGGCTACAAAAAAGCTCTCTCCACCCTGGAAATGCCATCCCTCAGTGACCTCCACCCCCAAGCACTAGCAAGGTTTGGTAGTGGACTACTGCACCATCTTCGTCATCGCCACCTGCCACCGGCAGTCCCCCGCCCACCTCGCGCAGTCCTCCACTACAACAAAATTCAGCTCATAAGAGCCCGCACTGTTAGATATAAGAATAGCACCAGCCCATCTATTGTTAAGATAATAAACAAATGATTTATGTACTGTACAGCCCTGTAAATGTATTGAACGCATATCATTGTCTAAATCACATGTAAGTTTGTATATTTTCAGCCACCGGCTGCAACTCTATTAATAAACCATTTATTATTATTATTACGAACGGGATAATTTTTGGGGAGGCATGAAATGATGAGTGAACTCCTTCCTCATTTGTTAGTTCTGTAGTAGTAATCTATGAACTCTTTCATACCATAAATTTTGCCCCAAGAATATAATACAGGTTGACAACCCTTTATCTGAAATTCCGAAAACCGAAAAGCTCTGAAAACCGAGTTTTTTTGTGGAACAAGTTTTTTTTTTTTTTTTTTTTTAAACGGGGATTAGCCCTCCCAGGCATAGATCACTGACCCACATTGGGGCCTGGGGGGCGAAAATGTAATAGTAATACTAATTATAATAATAATAATTATTCATAGTAAATAAAAATAATAAAAAATACACCAAAATAAAATAATAATAATAATAATAATAATAAAATATATTAATAAAATTAATAATAATAATAACAATAATACTGTATTAATAAAATAATAAGAATAATAAAGAAATACAAGAATGAAAAAAGATAAAAAGTGAGAAACATGACCTAGACCTATGAATTATTATTATTATAATTATTATTATTATTATTATAATTATTATTATATTTTCGTCTCCCAGGCCCCAATGAGGGTCAGTGACTTGTGCCCGGGTGGGCTAATACACATTTAAAAAAAAAAAAAAAAAAACCTAACCATTCTGAAAACCAAAAAATTCCGAAATCCGAAATGCTTCTGACCCCATGGATTTCGGATCAGGGATTGTCAACCAGAACAGCACATTTCTCAATTATATACAGGGTATTATCTTATTTTCCTGTAGGACATATCAAATGATTTGTTTTAAACATTCCTAAGTGATAGGAGGAATGAATTTTATCACTTTTATTTCAGGAAAACTTGTGAGTGTTAAAGGAACAGTTGTGCGCATAAGCAGCATCAAGCCATTGTGTACCAGACTGGCCTTCACGTGCATGGGATGTGGAGCTGTGCATGGAGTTACCCAGACTGAAGGACGTTATACTCTGCCTGTATCTTGCCCCATCCAGAGTTGCCGGGGTAAATCATTTGTACCGGACCGCTCCCACAAACTAACACATACGGTGGACTGGCAGAGCTTTAGAATTCAAGAGATTATGAGTGATGATCAGGTATGGACTTGACTAAGGAGTAACTTTAATAATGCTGGGTTATGGCTGACCAAATGGTGTCACGTGCCTGTGATACCCTCAGTACCCAGGTTTCTGCTGGGGTACGATAATTATGTTAGTACAGTGGTCCCTCGGTTAACGAACGCCTTGGTTAACGAGACTTCGGTTAACGAGTTACCTTCCATAAGATTCTTAACTTCGGTTAACGAGCAATCCCTCGATTAACGAGTTTCTTACGAGCCGACCTCCACATGTTTTAGCTGTAGTATTAGTCCGCCAATACAGTAATCGGTTCTAGGACTTAAATTCCTTACCCTTTTAGTAAATATCAAGAAGTTTATACTATTCCATAATTTTAAAAGTTTAATATTAAATTTTTTAGTCATTTAACAATTATTGAACATAATTGAAGGTAGGGTCACTAGTTTCTGGCACGCCATCCAGCCTGCCAACACAGCATACAGGCGTCAGTCTTTGTGTCTTTTCAGTGGAGGTAACATCTTGCTTGAGACTGTTCAACTAAACGCTTTTTTTCTGTGTTTACAAGCAAATTATTGGTCATTTTGAAATCTATTTTACATATTGACAATATATAATGCAGTGCAGTGTTGATTTAAAGAAAATAATCTTGAATTACACCAAGAGAACTAAAATTGTATGGGTGAAATGGCGCCATGGGGTGACTTCTCTTCCACCCCAATGCTTTCTCTTCTCCCTTCTCCTCCACCCCCATTCTAATTCCCATCATCATTATCATCATCCAGGAGCCTTTTACATACACACCTCAAAGTAAGTGTACTTTTCTCCCATTTTTGTTGAATTTAAGCAATTTTCGGTGAGCTGGAACCAATTACCCAAAAACCCATTGAAACAATGGTTTTGGTTAACGAGTTTTTCGGTTAACGAGCAACCTTCTAGAACAGATTGTGCTCGTTAACTGAGGGACCACTGTATGTGTTTTGTCTTAGTATGTTTCATGTCTTGGTATTAAATATGTAACATCCTGTAATTCTTTATTATTATGATTACTATTATTAGTATCATCATTATTATTATCCTTTGAAGTGGAGAGGTTTTCTATTAAGTAACGGTTGTGATGTACTGTATATATTATCAAACTGTGCATGCGTGGAAATCACTCCCGCAGTGGTTTTGCCAGCTCTTTGGTCGTGGAGAACAGACCTCTCCTGTGCTCAGGTGGTACTAGAATTTGTGTTAGGCGAGGAAGCTAGGTAGGGATCCAGGTGTTACTGGAAGTCATCTTTGGTAGAGAATGTAACCTGTTTATTTAATTGTATTATTGGTTGAACCCGTGCTGTAATATAAGTTGTCTTTTAAAAGTACAACTTTCTCTCTCTCTCTCTCTCTTTTTTTGTGAGGCTTCCCCCCCTCCTTCCCTTTCCATGAACATACAGGTATAGAAGCCACTGAAGTTCTTGGAGTACCAGTATCTATTCTTATAATCTAACTTACATAAGGAAACTATTTATGAACTGCAGTAAGATCTCATATTTCACGCGATTTCATTTCATATTTTTGAATTTCGTGAGCACTACCTAATGTAACCAAGTCTTATATTTGGCGTAAAATATAGTGAATTTCGCGAGATCCAGCCGGCTGAACGCGAGATCCAGCCGGCTGAACGCGAGATCCAGCCAGCTGAGTGCGAGATCCAGCAAGCTGAATGCTGACCACCGTCTTGAATGACGCCATAGTCCTCATACCAGTTACAGTCATTTCTGCTACAACGCGTGTTTTGTCAACGCGAATTGCTTGCAACGTGATTGATGAATAGGGGAATGCTGTTTGTAAAATGCGAACTTTTGCATACGAATGTTGGCTATAGCGCGATTCCATCCTCAACGTTTTAAGCGTGGCGCGGGATTATGCAATGTTTGCAGTTCATGTTCGATATCATATGTTCAACTGATTTGTGTCTTTTGTTTGTGAAGTGTTTTTTGTGAGGTACTCTGTAATTTATTTTTATTTTTTATTTAATTTTTTTGCAAATTTAGCTGTTACCCATAAATACTGTATGAAAAGAATAAGTAAAAAGAATGTTTTGCAGCGAGGACTAATAACGGTTTACACCAGCGCTCTCTGTTTACATCATGTAATCAGTTGAATCGTGTGGTTTCTGTCAATTACTCTGTGATTTTTGCTATTTTCTCCAATTTTGTTGTGTAAGCAATGAATACGGAAAGACAAGGTAAGATGTATGTTTCCAAGTGTTCTGGGGATCGAATTGCCAGTGATGAACGAAAAAGAGGTTTACAGGAACGCAACTATCACGTTGTAGCCCGCGCCATCCTAGCGACCGCCTGGGCTGTTATTGTGTGCTTTTTTGGGTGGTGCTACCACCTGTCGAGTCAAGATAATGTCCTCTGCCTCTACTGGGGGTCCTTCTGGTGCTGGTGGGGCTGGGACAGACCCACCTAAGCAGCCAAATAAAGAAAAGGAGAAGCGGGACTATGATAAGGGAGTTTAGTTTGCCAAGTACTCGATGCAGGATAAGCAGTGTGTGATTAAATTACTAGTTTCCAGAAAGCACAATCAAGTCAATAAAGGCAGAATTTGTATCATTTGGAGGTTATAAATGGGAAAATCTGAGGTTGATGTAAAGTGGCCAGTCTATATTGTTATTTTCCCCTTAGTTTATGTATTTGCATTTAGCAAATTTGAATTTGGAGCAATTTTTCCAGTCTATGTTACTCGCGAAATATAAGATCTTACTGTACTTAGCCTTAATTACCATTATACATAACTACATGAAGGTTTGGGTGTAGTTATTGTAGTGATCATGACAATGGACATCTGAATAAACAAATGAAATAAACTCAAAAAAGGGGGGAGGGGGTTAAATTAACATCCTTTGTGCCATTTCCCATAATATACAAGATGTCAATCTTCAGGCAAGAAAGGTTATCATAGGCAAAGGCATTGATATTGCTCGTGGCCAGTTGGTATTTTACAACTTTTTACTGTTTTACATTATTTAATGTAACTTCATTATATTTTGTGGTAGAGCAAATAATTGTACTTGATAAACAAATGAGTAACAAGCATGTGTTTAGAAATGACTGCTATATTGATACAGTACCTTGTCCATAGGGGGAAGGTGGTCGTGTTCCTCGTACAGTTGAATGTGAAATTAGAGAAGATCTTGTTGACTGCTGTGTCCCCGGGGATATGATCACCATTACAGGCATTGTCAAGGTCAGTTGTGTTTATAACCTTGTATAAGAAAACGCCATTTATAAGAAGACTATGGATGCTGAATCTCCTACATTTACGTTAGTTGTTGTACATTTATGTTAGTTGTTGTGTATTTTCAGCGATATAGGTACAGTGCAGCATATGAGACCTAGCTAATACTTGAAGCTTTATTTAAATTTTTGTAATTGCAGCTAGCCCAGATTTCAAAAAGTGTGGAATCTGATCCTTCATTCTGTAATGCCATAATTTTAATAAATAATTAACTAATATTTACTTTGATAAATGTTATGTTTAGCCATACTGTATATATGTCAAAATTTTTTTTCATAAAATAAAATGAAGCAAGATCGTATATACTGTACATACAGTTTTATTGATTTACACAAAGCTGTTTATACAATAAATAGCTTTATACAGTGATTACTTGTCTCTAAGAACTCCCATAAAGACGATTTTTTCCCACTTGAGCGATTCCCACGAATACAATTCCAACACTGACAATTAAAACTAAAAATTGTCCATACAGGCATCCCCCGGGTTATGTAAACTCTGGTTACGGAAATTCGCTCTTGCAGATTTTGTAAATTATTACCAATAAATTCAGGATGCGGACAAAAAATTCGCTCTTACGGAAATTGGGTAAATTTTTAAGTTAATTTTTTTTTTCAATACTATTAGAAAAAAATCACCGAAATTATCAAATTTATTTCATGTGGATTTCTTGGTGGTTGCTACAATACTGTACAGGGCGAGGCAGGAGCCAGTAGTGCCCCTCCTTCTCCCTCCCAGTAGCTCCAGTTACCTCACCTAATGCAGCACTCAACATCATTTGTGGTAAGTTAACTTCAAGTGTTTTGTATATTTATTATCATATTAGTGGATATAAAAAAATAATAAATGTATTAAAGAATAAATATTTTCATTCATAAATGTGCTTGTATTACATCTTTTTGCCAAAAATATTTCCTTGGGAAAGCATCTCCAATTATATAATGGATGTCAATGGGAAAATTGGTTTCGCGTTACGGAATTTCACGTTACGGACAAATTTTCAAGAACACATACCTTCCGTAACCCGGGGATGCCTGTACATCACAAATTCTATAAGAAATACTGTGTTTATTATAGGAATATATTATGAATTATAGGAATATACCTGTAATATGAAATATACGTACGGTATTAGGAATAACAAAATGCAACATAACTTATAATTATTAGGAATATTTTTTACATAAAAATTACTGACCGTTTTCTCCCAAACTCATGACCTAACTAAGTGACTTCACTCTTTCCACCTGTTTTAATCTTGACACTACAGTATTATGAAGTCACCTGAGATCAAGTAACCTGGCCCCACATGGGAATCATCCTAGTGGGATGACACCTGTACAGTATGTATACAGACACTGACACATACAAACACATGCACACACATCAATAAGCATTAAATGTACAGTAGCTAAAGCAACTTTCTGTGGAGGTGGGGGTCGATATGCTCCGAAATTTTACGTGTGACTAGTGACAGCACTCATATACCAAAATTTATCGTCCATGGTCTCATATTGTTTCCCACAAAGTATGCACAGATAGTTGTTGTAGCTATTGTACATAGCAAGATAATTATAATGTTATAATTCTTCATGATGTCAACTAGTTCCATCCTACGAGGATGTACCTTAGCAAACTTGTTCACAGTGATGTTCACATCAAGTTCCATGGAATAGTGAACATTCATGTGAGCAAATCATTAAGACTCCTTATATCCAGCACATGATATCACCTCACAGAGGTTTACACTTGCATCACCACCATGCCAGGTGGCGGTCATCTTCGACAATATCAGGAAACACAATCGCCGATTTAGGCTAAATTGCCCTCAGATGTAAGTAAACCATACATATCTTTGCCCTATGTATCAAACCTTAGTGTTATTTATTCAGTAAGCCAGGATCTCAATGTAAATATTGCTTTCAGATATACAGTGCTTCAACCCTTAAATCTATGCTGGTAAGAAATCAAAGTATCAGTAATTCTACAGCAGATGTGTACCGTACAGAATTCTATGAAAGGAATCCTGGCGGCGAATGTGTTACCTGCAGGGCTGGATTAACCACAAAGCAAATAAAGCTGTAGCCTTCGGACCTCGAATTTAGGCCTTAATTTGTGTATCTTGATATTAAATCTTTGTCACAAGTTCAGAAATTTACAAGATGGTTAAGTCAATGACTTTTGTTATGTTTATTAAGGCTCTACAGCTATTATATACTAGATTAAATACCTCCTTTTTATGTATATAATGCAGTAGAACGTCGGTTTAAAGTGATTCAATTTAAGATTATTGATTTAAAGCGACACCCACAATTAAGGACAATGTTTTAATTTAAAGCGAATCTTTCCTATTTTGCGCGAGTCAATCTGGCGCATCATATTTTAAAATTCGTGCCTAATGTTTCTCTGGGCACGTTGCACTGTCCTAAGGGCAAAGCTGTACTGTACATATGCTCAAAATAATGTACTAAATGATTACTAAAATTTTTGTCTAGTGCTAACTACTGTAAGCATGATTATATTCAAATTAATCACAATCTTATAAGAATTCCAGCAATGTAAATATTTTCTCCCCAGTCACTTCTGTGATATTTTATAAGCAAAAAACAAAAACTCAATCTAAAGGACATAAATAAATAAATAAATACTTCACTCGACCTTTGGCGCCAACTGTCAAACGTGTCACTGTCACCTTCCCCCCCCCCAATCTTCCCAGCCAGGGTTGGGTGGTTATAGGCTTACAGTCTTTATCTTATATAATGTCACAGACTAGAGTTAGGAGAATATAATTTGCATTGCTATAATCCTTGCAAGACAGCGAATAATTTGAATATAATGTTATATATTTTGCACAAGAGAAATTTTTTTTAGCCCTTTGTAGTAAAATTAATTAGAACATGTCAGTTCAGTGATATTTTATAAGAGAAAAACTTAGTCACTCTTAAGGACAGATAAATAAATAAGCACTAGACCTTGGCATTAACTGTCAAACATATCACCTCACCTCCCTCCCCCAATCTTCACATCAGCCGATTGCTAGTAAACAGACCATTTCACGTCTCATAATTTTAGCCGTGTTGATTTATGAGTGTTTGTTTTAACATAATACTGTTCTACAAAAAACAATGTTTTGTTTATTCTAGGAGATGGGCTGTAGTGCATCTGGGTAGACTTTCAGTCTTTTTAATATTTTGTTTCTCTCAAGTACCAAACTAAATTATTCCATTGAAACAACACTTCGATTTAGTGCGAATTCGGCTTAAAGCAACCTCTCACAATCTTAATCTGGTTCTGGTTACCGGACATTGTCAAAGGTGACTGCTGCGTGATGCCTCAAGGGGGAATCCCAGTTGGAGTTTAGGTGATGTGGGTCAAGAGGTGATGTGAGTGTAACCTTACCTGAAACCTTACCCCACCCCCAGGCCCTGCTCCGATTATCCCATTCCTGGCCACGGTTTGTCAAACCCGCCACTCAGAAGCTGGAGGGCCATACAGGTCAACACTGACAATGAGATCATGTTACGGATAGGTCAATTATTTGACTGATACATATGATACCTTTGCATCGGTCAGAATTTTTTGAGTGATACAAGTGCATCAGCCTGGATCTGGCCCTGCTATGCTTTCCACAGTGACCATGATGTTGAACTTTTTCCAGAAGTCCCTAACTGTAGGATTATCCTCCTCATCAATTGCTTTTATGAGTTGTTTAAAAGTTCTTCATAAATAATCACACCTTGATTCATTGGCTGGAGCAGGCAATTGTGTTCTTGGGGATATACAGTACTCCACTCTCACATGATCAGAAAGATCATTCACACTCACTGGGTGACTTGGTGCATTGTCTAAGAGGAGCAATGCATTGTTGGATGTATTACACCTGTCACTACCTTTCAGCAGCAGGGCAAAAATAATTAGTGAACTAGTCTTGAAAAAGGCTCATGGTCGTCCAAGCCTTTTTATTTGAATGCCCCAAATCACAGGTAGATTAGGGTTGGTATAGCCCTTGAAACCCCTTGAATCTTCAGAGTGATACATGAGTAAGAACTTTAATTTCAAATCTCCAGCAGCATTTCCTCCCATAAGAAGGGTTAGATGATTTTTTGAGGCTTTGAAACTTAATGCTGACTTTTCTCCTTTAGAAATAAATATCCTTGCAGGTATAAGCTTCCAATAAAGACCAGTTTCATCCATGTTGTACACTTGTGCTGATGTGTAGCCTCCTTCATCAATAATTATTTTCAACTCGTCAGGATATTTACATGCAGCTTCTGTTTCAGCATGGCAGCTGCACCGTTTATCTTAATGCTGTGCAAATTAAATTGGATTTTAAACCTTTCAAGCCAGCCTTTAATAGTCTGGAAAGGTTTTTCTTCAGAAGTTCCACCTTTCTCTTTCTTCAAATAATTAAACAAACTTTTTGCCTAATGTTGAATGTATCATCGTGTTTATCAGCACATTACGTTGGGTCTGGTCTTTGATCCACACACCCAGGAGCCATTCCATATTAAGCATCACATCACTTTTATGAAAGTACAATGTATGAGCAGTTAAAGGAGTAGCTGCTTGAGCACTTGACCTAATTTTATCTCTATTATCGATTATCACATATTGTACAATTTGTACCCAATGAAGGTGCAGGAAGCCCTAATGTTTTTTCAGTCTGGCTAAGTTTTTCTCCAACATCAAACCTCCGTAAAACATCAAGTTTTATATCCGATGTAATTCCTTTACAGGCTCCTTTAGCTCCACTGCTTTCACTTGCACTTGATGGTCTCTTTCCACTCATCTTGAATAAGGGAAATACACTGGACAGTCTTGAATAAGATTCATATCTATATGTTAAATCCAATAGCTGGGGGTCAAGATCTTAAGCCTAGACACTAGGAGATAAAAACACACTTGAGTCGGCATGGATATGCTGGTGTACCCAAAATGGTGGTAGCAAA